ATTATCATTGCTACCATAAAAAATTACTAATTGCTGACCATAAATCTATATCACCCGAAACATCACTATAGAATTCATTGCACAAACATCAAGTGCCTGCTCTTATTTCTAAAACGTTTTTTTTCTCGATTTGATAGCAGCAAAATCATTAATAGTTTTATCGAAATTTATTTTTCGGGCTGGCTCATTTTCAATTGACAGAATTGCTAATCCATTCAATCTCTCTTGACCCATTGTACTTCGCAAGAAATTTTTGATCAAATTTAATTTTGAAAACGATCGTTCTGCTGTCGCGACTGTCACAGGAATGGTCAAGTACATGAGATACGCAGTATAAACGTCAGGATACTTTGAGATTACTTTGGCATCACTGTGAGAGGTTATCTGTCAGTGCTACACGGGGAATCATCTATTCGTGAAATTAAAACATTTTTTTAATGACATTTTTCTGATCATCAATTTTAAGAAGGGCCCCTTGCGGAATACCGCACCGGGGCCCCGAGCTTATCGCTACGGCCCTGATAATTTAATAACCAAATGATAAATCGTCGTATATGTTCGATGTAAGAGTGAACAGAAAACAGTTTATAACTCCTGCGTAGTTGAAAACCAAAAAAAAAAGAAGGAAAACAAAAATGAAACAGTAATTTGCTTCAGCCGATAATGAATACTTACAAAAAGCTTCTAACGTCTAGAAATCAGAAACTAATGTTTATATTTAACAAAAATATCACAAGATCATTTCGATTTTCACATTTTTCGATTGATTCTGCGCTCATTGCAAAAGAGTGCGGAACGATATGTCGCACGGCTCACGCGTGGCACAGGAATTATGGAATGGTTTGGTATACTGTTTTGGCTATATCTCTGAAGGTGTTCCACATACAAATCAGTGATTCTTATAAGGGTTCTATTTTTATTTTCGGTGATTTCAAGTATTTTGTGTTAATACACCCTACAAACTAATCTAAGCCACGTGCAGCTAAAATTAAAAGATCAACGCTTTGCTTATTAAATCAATGTAAAGCTTGAAATTATAGGTATTCTGTAATCCAAAACCAATATCGATAGAAGTAACCGAAGAGTTGATTTACATAATTAACATTTTTTTACACAAAAACACACATTTCGTTCCAACAAACATTTTTTTTATAAACGTCGTGTTACACAGACATATCTGAGTTTGTTTGATGTATAATAACGATATTTTACGGCTGGTATTCTTAATTAAAGAGTAAACTGTATGCGAGATAATAAAAATAATATAGATTTAATAATAAAAAAATTATGTTAAAAACAATTTTATTATACTACAATCATTATTGCATTGGATTTAGATATATCATTCCAAAACAATAATTGGTGACAGTACGGTAATAAAAAATGAAGTGGTTTATGAAAATTCATAAATTGTAAATCGCTGATAGTCGTCGATACGCTGTAAGTCCCCGATATATTTGGTATTCCCCAATCGTATTGGCTGACGAGATATTTTCTGAATGTAGTAATCGAATGGGTAAAAACGTCAACAGAACTGGTGTAATGGTTACAAAAAGACCACGAGGAAGTGCGGTTATGCAAATAATAAAAATGTCTTAGAAACAAACAATACGAAATTTCAAGTAATATAAGCAAAAAAAAATAATTTTGATGTGGCACTTGAAGTTTATTCTATCAATAGTTAAAAATAATAAAAGTTATTATTGAAGACGAATTAAATTTTTGTTGTTAACCGTGTTTGTGAAGATACTACTAAAAATTGGGGCCTCATGCAAAAGACACACTTACACAACAATTTCGGTGCTTTTGACTATTTTACTATCAGGATATACGAAGAGAATCTCGCTGACATGTCAACAAAATAGAACCAGGTCGATGAGCTCAATGGACTCGGAAGAGAATTTCGATTATTATTTACAAAGCCACAAATAGCGATTCAAAGAATATTTCTGGCCGGAAATTATCACGTTAGCTGTTTCCATATCTAACCACAAAAACGAACCCCGGAAGAAAACATGTCGTGAGAGTATAAAGTGCTCCATACATAAACAAACTCGCCATTGTTAATAACTGAGCTGACACTTTTTATTAAAAATGTCGGGTCCTCTTCAACGTGACGAAGCAGCTAACCAGCTCAGCGAATATGCCGCTAAAGTTGAGGTAAGTTGTCCGAAAATCTTACCAAAACCATCAGCGATCAGTCGATATATTTTTTAACTTTCAATCCCATTAACAGTACGGTCCAAGAGGTGTTATTACGAACACCGGTGGAAATCCCATAGCAAACCACGATTCCTCCGTAACGGTAGGATTCAGGGGACCAACCCTTTTGGAAGATTATGCCATGTTCGACCAACTGACCCACTGGACTCATGAACGACAACCTGAGCGAGTTGTACACGCGAAAGGAGGCGGAGCATTCGGATATTTCGAATGCACGCACGATATCAGTCAGTACACTGTTGCCAAAATATTTACAAGTGTTGGTAAAAAGACCCCATTGGCTGCGCGATTTTCTACTGTCATTTACGAAAGAGCTTCTCCAGATACTCGACGAGATCCAAGAGGTTTTGCAGTCAAATATTACACTGAAGATGGCATATACGACATGGTAGGAAACAATACACCGATTTTCTTCACAAGAGACGTGACCAACTTCATTAGCTTTATCAGAAGTCAAAGGAGAAACCCTGTTACAAACTTGATTGACTGGGATCAATACTGGGACTTTATCTCTTTGCGTCCAGAATGCTTCCATCAAACACTTTACGAACATGGGGACAGAGGTACTCCGGATGGGTTCAGACACATGCACGGATTCAGTTCTCATACTTATATGCTTATCAATTCTGATAAGCAGATCACGTATTGCAAATTCCACTACAGAACTAACCAAGGAGTAAGAAACCTGACAGCTCAAAGAGCTCTTGAACTGGAAGGCCAAGATCCAGAATATTCTATCCGAGATCTTTACAATGCTATCCATCGAGGCGAGAATCCGTCATGGAACCTGTACATCCAGGTGTGCACTCCTCACCAAGCTGAACAGCTACCATTCAATTTATTTGACGTCACCAAAGTTTTGCCCCAGAGAGATTTTCCTCTCATACCGGTTGGAAGAATGACATTGAACAGGAATGCCAGTAATTATTTCGCTGAAATTGAGAGTTTGGCTTTCAATCCCGCCCATTTTATCCCTGGGATCGCGGCTACTCCAGACCGGATGTTACAGGCTCGACTCATAGCCTATGCCGACACCCAAAGACACCGGCTTGGTGTGAATTATCTTCAGTTGCCCGTTAATTCTCCGTTCCGTATCAAGAATTACAACAGGGACGGAGGTCA